CTGCGTCAGAGGCTCTTTGGCCATGCAGCTTCCTGAAAGGATGGCAGCAATGGCCAGGCAGGACTCCACAACTACTACAGTCACCCGCAAGGATAGCCTGGAGCGCCGTTTGCTCTTGGTCACAGGAGGAGGCAAAGCTTTATTGTATATCAGATGTTCCAAAGCCTCAAATTAAAACAAAAGAAGAACCAGACAGTGGCTTTAAAGCCTCAGTCCATGGTGGAGGGGATGCACTGCAACAGGATTCCTGGAGGAAATTCTGGCTGAGTCAGACAGAATTCCGCCTGGGAAATACATGTGGCAGTAGCAGCTCTGCCACCCTTTTATGGGAATGCAGGGTGTGTCTGCGTGTGACGGGCATGTGTGTGTGTCAGTGCATGTTCATGGATGTGCGGATGGTCCTGCCCCTTCTTGCCACCTCCCAGGAGGCTCTGTGGGGGAGAAGTGCTGTGCTGGGGGCTGCATTTGTGCCCAGGAGAAGGGCTCTGGGAGGGAGGCATCTTGTTCCCCTTTGCCCACTACCCACTTATGTCCCCACACAGGGTAGGACACTATCAAGAGCCAAGAATGGGAAGCTTTACTGAATGTGTGCTATTCTGCGCCCTGTATAGCTGAATCTCTCCAAATCCTATCTCAGTGCACACAGGAGCACATGTAAACCCCGGAATGGATTATTTGGCTTCTGGCCCCAGTCATTCCAAAGTCATGATCCAGCATATTATTGATATTACTATTTAAAATATGTCCATCCAATGCTCCAGGCCCCTAATGCCAACTATTTATGAAAACAATACAAGGCACAAGGTACGCCAGTGCGCAAACCATAAGAACCTTTCTAAATCCTCCATACTCAAAGGCTCTTTGTTCTATTTCACATAAAGGAGGAAGAGGAAAGAGGGGAGGTGGGGTGGGTAAGAGAGTTGCCAGTTTTGGAAGGAACTTTAAAAGGTTTGGATCGTCATTGACACTTTGGGAATCAAAGTGGTTCTTCAGACTTCTTGAGGCACCGCCCGACCCTGCCACTAAATTTCCTAGATGCTTCTTAACACACAAAAGACAAGGCATCTATTAACTGTCTTCCCTGTAGTAATGTGGAGAGGCTGTTGTGTCCACAGCTGGGTTAAATTATTAGAACCTCAAACACATCCCCTTAGCTGGTTCCAATCACACGCAGAAGAGCCCATGTACATTTTATTCCCATTACGGCTTTTGACTTGGGTGATGGGGTGGATAGCATTCAAATGTAAATGCGAATTTTCAGTATTAAGTAATTCCGCTGGCTTGTGACCATGGGCAGCTTTATCATAATGTATCTCGCCTTCAAATAAGATTTTAATTTAGTTTTAATCCAGCTGCCTGCCCCCCTTTAACATTACATTGGAAATAATATTTCACGGCGCTCGAACAATTTATATTACCATAGCGATGCACATACATGTGTTAGAAGCTCCTAGACCCAGGAGAAGCTTTGGCTCATGTTATCAACCAGTCCACCACTACCCCCCTTAATGTATGGGATACCTTGTGTATAGACATAAGAACGGCCATACTGGATAGATCAATGGTCCATCTAGCCCAGTATCCTGTCTTCCGACAGTGGCCATGCCGGATGCTTCAGAGGGAATGAACGGAACAGGCAGTTATCGAGTGATCCACACCCAGCATCTGGCAATTAGAGACTTAGAACACCCAGAGCATGGGGTTGCATCCCTGACCATCTTGGCCAATAATGGACCTTTGCTCCATGAACATATCTAATTCTTTTTTGAACCCATATATACTTTTAAGCTTTACAACATCCCCTGGTAACAAATTCTACAGATTGACTGTGCATTGTGTGAAGAAGTACTTCCTTTTCTAAATGTCATTGCTTAGCGTTTTTAAAGTCAGATTGTCAGAGTACTCTACACACAATTCCTAATTCATAAACAACCTTGGCAAATCAGGACTGGCAAATGTACATTATACGCAGCTGAAGCACAGTTCAGAATAATGTGCTACCATCAACTGAAAGCTTAGCAGAGGGTTTTACTGCATGAAACTAGAAAAAAAGATACACCGAAGAATAATTTTAGGCTCATTTATTTAACGGACGTACAGTAAAGATGAAAACTCAAAACTTGCGATGGTTTAAATGCAAATTGCATCATAGATTTTTCCAGTATGTGGAATCACAAAGGCTTTTATTATGCAGAGATAAATTTGATCATTAGTTCATATCATTATGGTTCATATACATTACAATATAATAAAGTGCATTTGCTTGGGGACCTCAGTGAGCCATGAACATGTTGCATCTGATGCATTTTTACATGAAAAAGGAGCAGGGGCAGAATTCCCCCACATACAACATCTGGGTTTGGCCCTAGATTGCTAAAGGTAGATTAATATTGCATGTCCTGTTATTCAGCATAACAAACTGAGGCACAATTTTGTAGAGTTTTATTGGTTTTCTTGCTCTAGTTCTGCCACCTGCAATTCATACACTCTCTATTTTTCCCCCTCTCTGTCTCTCTTTATCATCCTGTTGTGCAGCCTGGTCTAGTGACTAGGTCACCAAACTTGGAGCCGGGAGCCCTGGGTTCTAATCACAGTGCTGACACTTCCTGCTGTATGACCGTGTGCCAGTCGCTCACTTCACCCCTATAGTGTGCCTCTGTTTTCCTTCCTGCCCTCTGTCTGTTTAGATTTGTAAGCACTTTGGGGCTGAGATTTTATCTTATGTATATTCACAGTGCTTAGCACAAAGATACTTTGGTCTCAGTTGGGGCCTCTAGATGCTAGTATAATACATTAGTCAAAAATATTATTTTGTAACAAAATGTTGAACCTTACAACTGAGCATTCCCAACCTATGAATTGTGCTGTCTACTCTGTGATGTAAAGCCCTAAATACTCATTCAGGTGTAGGTGGTAATGATTAAACATACATAGATAATAACCCTACTGTTTTATTATCCATTTGCCCGTGGTGTCATGCTCTTAATCTTAAGAGAATGAACTTCTGGTGCTGCGAAAGTATCTGTGTAAGAGGCTGTTCATATAGGGAACTGGACTGCCTACGCTTGGTAATGGGATAAGGAGATTTTCACCTCTAGATTGCCAGGTGGAGTCCAGTTCCCAATCACAAAAGCCACCATTGTGTTTCACATCTTTTATCTGGACTCTCAGCAGAGAAGTCAAAGAATGAATGGAGCACTGGACTCCCTTTTCACCCCTAGAAGGGGTCCCTTCAGGTCAGGACTGAGGCACAATGGCAGGGCAGGATGAGGAAATCTTCCACTGCTGCTTCCCACGCTGTAGCTATTCTGTGATGAAGAAGACTTCCTTCTCCTGGGCTATCAATGCAGCAGTTAGCACAAGCCCTGAAATTACCCCATAACTCTCATTAAAAATGAACAGGCTTCTAAAACAGTATAGGGCCTTGCTGTGGAATACAAGCCGTGTGCCATATTTGTCCATATTCCATTAACTTCACTTTCTGTTTTCAGCTGGGGGTGAAAAGAGGAAGTGCTGGCATACAGAGGAGGAAGGTGGTATTACACGAAGTAACGCACATTGGAAAACATAATCCCAACTATGCATACAAAGTGATGGGGTCTAAATTAGCTGCTACCATTCAAGAAAGAGATCTTGGAGTCATTGCGGATAGTTCTCCGAAAACATCTGCTCACTGTGCAGCAGCAGTCAAAAAAAGTTCACAGAATGTTAGCAACCATTAGGAAAGGGATAGATAAGAAGACAGAAAATATCATAATGCTACTATATAAATCCATGGTACTCCTACACCTTGAATACTGTGTGCAGTTCTGGTCACCCCATCTCAAATAAGGTATATTAGAACTGGAAAAAGTACAGAGAAGGGCAACAAAAATGATTAGGGGTATGGAACAACTTCTATATGAGACAAGATTAAAAAGACTGGGACTGTTCATCTTAGGAAAGAGATGACTAAGGGGAGATATGTTAGAGGTCTATAAAATCCTGGCATGGGGAGAAGTCAGAAGTTCTAGGAATCTACCAAGAAAACCGCCTGTTGTGAAACATCAAGCCAGACATTGCAGACTAGAAAGATTTTAAGGAATAGTTGTTTGGTTGCTTGATTGAACCAAATGTCTCAACTTTTAGAGTGGAGATGGTTCCAAGTCCCATCATTGGGATCCAGGTCAGACATCCCCAAAGTTAGCAGACATTTGGATCTGGCATTTTGATTTAGGCATGTCTCAGCTTCAGAGGTGCTAGTATGGTACCTGTATAGTCACTGCCGGTAGAAGAAGGGGGAGACTATATGGGTTTCTGCCAACCTTCTAAATCCCCATGAAATTCTGTCTACATAAGGAGCTCTAAATATTATAGCTGTGTTTAGTATAGGTCCATCAGAAAGGAAGGTCAAATACAGCACAATGTGTAAGTAAGGAAATCTTCAGGGGGAAAAGTGAACAGTTTGGTGCATTCACATGAGTTTCTGTCTAGCTTCTCATCACAGCACTATGCCAGGGCTTTTGCATGGAAATTAAATGCTAAATTAGCCTTTAGTAGCCTTATTATGTAACGGTACATTGTAGCATATGGAATGGAGTAACAGCATCTATTGCACATGTGATGTTATTGCTAGTGACTCACTCGTAGACTCTAAATACAGTACTGGTGTAGATGGCTCTGCTTCCTTTAGTCAATTATTTCATCTAACGTAACATACTATTGTCTCAACTGCTAATATGTATGCTTTAACCCTCGGTTAATTAGCTAGTCCAGAATAGGGTGACCAGATGTCCCGATTTTATAGGGACAGTCCCGATATTTGGGGCTTTTTTTTTTGTATGGGCTTCTATTTCCTCCCTCCCCTTGTCTCAATTTTTCACACTCACTATCTGGTCATCCTAGTCCAGAATGATGGTAGCATCAGCCCATCCTTTGGAAATTTAAAATGTTTCCAGTGATTCCAGCCAATCCTCCTGTATGGTTTCAGTGCTCTTTGTTTTCTTTCTCTCTCCCCATAGCTGTGCAGTCTATGCATACCCTAAATGACCAGCTCTCGCATTTTATCGTGAACAAGTCAAAAATGCTGGATGAGGACAAAGATGCTTTCTTGCCCAGTGAAAAAGAGTCTCTGAAAAATTCCATGATGCTGATGAGACACCTCTTAATGGATGCACAGGTATGAAATCAATAAGCTTGTATCTGTTAAGACACCTGGGAATGCACATTGCACAGATCCAAAGGCTGTGCTTCATTTTTATGGCAGGTTTAAGCTGTGAAAAAAATGTCAGCCCCCTACATTTGTTTGACACTGACTTAGACCGCTGAAATTCACAGCCATGGAAAGGACATCTCGGTTCAGAGACTATTGGGATTGTTATGGGCCAGCATGTTGGATTTAGGATAGGAAATGACTTTAAAGTCACAGAAGAAAATGGAGTAATCTACCTGTCAATGGTAATCTAGCATTTCTTCTATGAAAGCGAAAATCAGTTTGCTACTGAACATCTGTGCTGAATGCCAGTTTAAGGGTGGCAGGCACATAACATAATTGCTTGGTTTAGCTATGCTCCAAACTATGACTTGCACATGAACTCATGACTTTTCAGATGTTTCATTGCGACTTTTCACCTTAGTACATAAGAATTTCTCAGAAAGTCTGTACGCAGTAAATATATCCCAGGGTAATTCCCTCTAAATATAAGAAACTTCTGAAAATATTCAATACCTTTTTAAACTCTCTTTTAAGCTTTACAAATATATCTTCAAATGAAAAAGGCATCCTATGTTGGATGGCTGTTTGAAAACACAACAGTCTCCCTTCCCTTTTGTCTAAGTCCTAAATTCTGGGTCTGCTACCAAGAAGGCCTCTGATTGTTCATAACATTTGTGCATTTTATCTTCACCTTTGATGTGTACAGGATACTCAGAATTTATATGGCGTGGGTGATGCAGGCACCCCAAGTTATGCCAATCCTTTCATTCCTGTTCACCACATCCTCTCTTCAGACTGACAATGGGTAACTCCGCTCAGCTGTGCCAATCAGTGACTGCCAGGAACAGAAATGAAAGGGAGTATTCTGGCCCTAACAAGAAAAGGAAACACAGAACCGTTTGCAAAAAGAGGAGGAAATTATTCCGGCACGGATTAGCTGCATTATGTACAACATCCTCTCAGCCGGGGCTTTTCCTCATCACTATTCCATGGCTAACCCTGTGTTGCCAGTGGGAATACCTACGTGGATTGCTGCAGATAGTGTACAAACATGATTACCCAAACCTCAGTTAACCAAACTGTTCACTTACTTCAGCTCACTCTGTGGACCCGTTTCCTGTGACTTGCTTTTACAAGTACTTAAATGGGAAATTTAAATAGAAAAAAACTACTCCTTTCATGTATTACTCCCATAGCCTCTCACTTGGAACCTGGTGGTTATCTGAGCAAACACATCTCTCTCTCTGTTAAAGCCCTTTGGTCTTAATTAGTTTAGCTAATCGAGGTATCATTATACAGAAAGGATGGGCTGGAAATCTCTGGTAGCAATAATGCATCTATTTTAGTGCTGAATACATTTCTATGTAGAGTCGGGCCTACGCATTCAGGTGTATGCCACATATGCCCCCATGGCTTTAGTATGCTCCGTCCTTGGAGTAAAGGGAGGAGGGAATGGCAAAAAAATCAGAAAGAACCATTCCCCAGCTGCAAAAATCCTCCTTCACCATCCAACAAGCATCCTCAACTCAGCCAGCATCCGATCCCTCCCAGCTGTGTGGGTTATGGATGTTCTGCCTGAGGGCCTTCACATCTAACTTTGCACAGGACTCCACAAAATATGCCCGTGGCTCTGTTTCTGTGACCGAGGCAGTGTTGTGGAGGAGAGCTTTACTAGGCATTGGAACTGCAAGGAACTTTTGTACAGAACCAGACACACAGTGGAGGACTCCATTCCAGGAGTCCTAACATAAAGCATGTGGAGAACAGTGGACAAGTTATATGCCTTCATTTTATTCCTTCGAAGATAGATTTAGTTTCACAGCTGTGATTGTTCATGATTGTTAATGAGGCACCAGCAGAACTGCAGCTCCCAGAATGCCATGTGGGACTGGGAAACTCCACCTTTTTCTAGGAGAAGGTCACTTACTGATCTCAGTGTGTTAACAAGGGATGAAGCTGTATTTGGGACTCTTTTTCTTGAGGGTTCAGTACTCAAATGCAACACTGCACACCTTTGGCAAAGGCCCTTCCACTTATGCCTCGGACCCCGTACCTTAACTTATGCAAATATCACTAGGGGGCAAGAGAAATGAAAGACACTAAGGGTTAAATTTTGCCATCAGTTGCAGAAATGCAGCTCCCATTGCAGTTAAAAGTAGCTTCAGTGGGAGCCAGGTATGCACATCCAAGAACAGATAGGAGCTCTCGTGACATCTGCATATTGCAGATAAAATAAATATAGACACCAAAAAAGAAGAAGAAAGGACCTGCTGATAAGCCACTTTTATACAAACTCCTTTTTAGCACCTGAGAATTGGTTTATTGCCTATCGTTTGCCCTGAATGCATATTAATGCTGCCTATGATACTGTGCCTGATTAAGGAAACACTAATAACAATGGGGAAAATGTCAAGAGCGTCTGTGTCCTCATAATGCATCTGGAACACTTCCCAGGCAGAACTGGACATTGTTTGCCTTGGATTTTAAAGTTGGAACGATGACAAAATGGGAGGCGGTAATGATGATTAAAAGGATGGAACAGGCGAGGTGACAACTTCAAATACTTAAAAACCAACAACCACTCTGTGGGGAATCAAAAATCATGATGTTGGCAGTGAACTACATAAATAGGAACATCACCTCCAGTATGTGCATATCAAGTATGTAGTAAACACAATTGCAGGGCGCCCTGTAGTCCTCATTACCCGGGAGGGGGAAAAAATCACCAATGTAATTATTTCCATTTCTTTTATGAGATCTCCTTTTCCTTCCATATTGGTATTATTTCTTTAGACTGTCCTGGGGCTGGGAAGCCCCAGAGGCCTATTGTGCTAGGCACTGCACAAATAGTAAGAGCCAGCCCCTGCCCTGAAGAACCCACCATGTAAACAGACAAATAAAAGGGTGGGGAAAATAAGTATTTTCATCCCTACTGTTGAGATGGAAAACAGAGCCAGGATGAGAGGCAGCAGCTTGGGTATGAACCTGGGACTTGAGACCTGGGTTCAAGTCCCTGCTCCAGCACAGACTTCCTCTGTGACCTTGGGCAGGTCACTTAGTCTCTCTGTGCCTCAATTTCCCCACTAGTAAAATAGAGATGATAGTGCTGTCCTCGCTAGGATAAATACATTCAAGATTGTGAGATGCTCAGGTACAATGGTAACGGGGGCCATGTAAGTAACATCCGTGCCCCACTAACAATTGTGTGGGTGAAATGGGGCTACGCTCTGGAATGAACTCACACACGCAAACAATAAAAGACAAAAACACCACATGGTCTGTGAGGGAACACTTTTCACAAAGCAGTCCCTCTATATCTGACCTCTCATCCTCAAAGGAACCCTGTACAATACTTTCCAAAGATGAGCCTGGGAGCTTAAATTCATAACTTTGCTAGACACTAAAAATGATGGACTGAATTGAGAGGCTGGATTTAGGGTTTATTACAACAATCTATGACCCATTAACTGCCTCCCGCAACTTCTTTTTCTCCTTTATCCCTATGACTGGAGAAGTGTTAATGGACCAGCTTACCTTGGATGGTTTCTTGAAATATGTGTTAACAACTTATGCTAAACAATCTGTTCCACCTTGTATTTAGCTGTGACACTCTGAATAGATTTCCCAGACCTGAAGAAGAGCTCTTTGAAAGCTCAAAAGGTTGTGGGCTAGTCTACACTGGCCACGTTAAAGAGAGCTCTCTCCCAGTGCTGGTGCACTGTCTACACTGGCACTTTACAGCGCCGAAACTTGCTGTGCTCAGGGGTGTGTTTTTTCACACCCTTGAGCAAGAAAGTTGCAGCACTGTAAAGTGCCAGTGTAGACAAGCCCTAAGCTTCTCACCAACAGAAGTTGCTCCAATAAAAGATAATTACCTCACCCACCTTCTGTCTCTAATATCTTGGGACCAACGTGGCTACAACAACACTGAATACATAGCTACAGAGGCACAGAGACTGGGGGCTTGTCTACACTGGCACTTTGCAGCGCTGCAACTTTCTCGCTCAGGGGTGTGAAAAAACACCCCCCTGAGTGCAGCAAGTTTCAGTGTAGACAATGTTTCAGTGTAGACAATGCACCAGCATGGGGTGCTGCGCTCCCAGCGCTGGGAGCTGCGCCCTTCGTGGAGGTGGGTTTTTTAGAGCTCTGGGAGAGCTCTCTCCCAGCGCTCTGCCGTGACTACGCAAGCCACGTTGAAGTGCTGCCGTGGCAGTGCGTTAACGTTGCCAGTGTAGACTAGCCCTAAGGATAACATTTTCAAAAGCTAAGTCCCATTTTCAAAAGTCACTTAGGCATCTAGAACTCAATGGGACTTAGCCTGAGAGATTTAGGAGCTTAACATTTTCAAAGCACCTAAGTGACTTGCCTAGTGTCAGAACTAGGAACCCCAATCTCTTGAATTCTAATGCAGCACTGTAACCACAAGGTTATTCTCTCCCTATTTTTCCTTCAAGCTGGTCATTCTCTGGCTTCTCTCAGGAGCATTTTACTTGTACATTCAGTTTAATGTTGGTCCCTTCCTTCTCAAGGTCTCACTCCCTTTCCTCTTAACTCTCTTAGCATGGGCCTGCCTATTGTCCGGCAGGTAATTCAAGGAGAGAACATCCAGCTTGAACTTTTGGAGGCCATTAGCTGGGCAATTAACCTACCAGTAGTGAGTGATTTTTCAACTCCTCTGGGGAGCAAGAGTGGGGATTCCTGAGTTCCATGAGACTATTAAAACCAGCATGATTTAAACACAGACCTTGGTTGTTTAAAGCTTGCAGAGCTTCAGTTGCAGGTGAATTTTCTCAGAGCTTAGATTCCTAGCTAATTCGGGAACTGTGATTTCAGACAACAGCAGGCAGTAGAGAGGTGTGGTCCAAGCACAGAACTAGGATCCTCTGAATTCTAAGCCTGACTTTTCTTAATTCTATGACTCTAGCTAAATCACATAACTTCTCTATGCCTTAAACTATGTACCTCCTTGG